TAGAAATTACCAGATTTGGCTTAATATAGAATTTTTAATAAGTTTTTAAACATATAGTAAAATCTATCTTACAGTCGCAGATTTAATTATAAATTTGTATAAATTCGTACCAAGCTCAATAATTGTTGAAACAATTCCTGGATGAAATCATTCTCAACAACTTTGTAGAAGAAATCATTTCAAAATTTTGAGCATAAAATTATCTAAAAATTCGTACAAGTTTCTAGCAGATTGAAGAGTTATATAATCAAACCAAATAAAATCTTTAATCATCTCTTTAATGGCACAAACTACACATGCGTCTAATTCCAAGATTATATCATGATTTTAAGGCTACTAATAAAGAAATGACCTTCAAATATTTAACATACCAATCACAAATTTACATACAACTATAAACAAAATTTTATCTAAAGTTTTAGCTATGTTAACATATAAACACAAATCTAAAAATTTAACAATTAAAAAGAATGAGACGGTTATGAGAGTTTTCTTACTATGTTAGGTTGCTAACGATTTATCGTCCGAATTTGATTTATGATTCTGATCGTAAGATATGATCGTCCTGGCTCCATGATCGTCTTGTTGAAATTTCACATCAATCGGACGCGATCTCACCGTTGATCTGGCATTGGATTCTCTTAGAACTTTTAGTTGTTGATCATCATCTTAGACTCAGAATTTATAAGATCTAACCCCAAAAATGGATTCTACACGTCGAAAAACCTAAGGGTGGTCATCCCCAAAGTCATAGGACCACTCGATTAACCTAAATGTGCTAGGATGCACCGTAACACCATGAGCCGAGAAACACTAGATAAAATTTAGTTCATCTTCTCCAACAGCCACAACATGCACGACAGAGAGACCCAGAATTTTAGTTTCAATGTCCCCAGTTCAAATACTTGTATCCTCTTCATCGTAACTCCGTTTTATCTTATTTTTCTGTTATTGGATTCACCCCACGGCCTAGTTTTTGGTTCACTACTTACACGCCTTGTTCCATATCTTTTTGCATGCCGTCGGATCTCTAAAATTTGACGAAAAATTAAATTTTTTTCCTACCATCTCGGACATTTCTTCGAACCATCTTTCAAACCTTATAACTTTCTTAATTCTTAACGGTTTTACTTCATTCTTTCGCCAATCTCTTCAACTTACTTCGTACTTCATCTTACATGGCCTATTTGTCTCACTTCTTCCCGGAATGGATGGTTTTGGCATGCCGAGAGTAAGCCGAAAACCAACTTTTGAACTTCAAAATAAACTTCTCTAACTTTGCTTCTTTTTCCTCCATCTTCCTTTTTCTTCTCTTTCTTCACCTACAACACTTTGTGAATGGTGGTTTTAGATGATAATGGAAATAGGTGATGGTGGTGGTGGTGGCGGTCCGACGGTGCGCCAATGGTGGTGAAGTTCGCGGGTTGGTGGCTCGGATGGTGATAGTATGGGTTGAGGCCATGGCTATGGAGGTCGGGGGAGGAGAAAAAACATAGATAAAGAAGGAGAAATAGAGTTTTGAGAATGAAAGGTGGAGGGAGAGGGAGAACCGAGAGAGAGAGATATATGAAACGGATAGAGAGAGATATCAAATTAGAAGAGAAGCAAAATGAGGAAGATGAAAAGAAATTAAAAAAAAAGGAGAAATAGAACACTTGGTGGTATGGCATCGGCATGTTCACCACGTTTTGTTTTGGTAATGATAGCTGAGAGAGAAGTGCATGTGGAAGGTGAGAAAACATGGGGAGCAAGCCTATGGTTTTTCTTTTTTTTTTTTCTTTTTTTTTTTGGATTGGATTTTAGTACAAAAAATATTAGGTTTCAGTGTAATTTGATTACAAAAAATATAGAGAAAAATATAATAAAAATATCATAAGGTTCAGAAATTAATATTGAGTAATAATATAAAGTCAAAAAATATTTTATTTCATTTTATTTTGAATAAATGTTCAGTATAAAAATATACAGACTATTAAATTCAAAATATTGTGAATAATTATTTAAGAAAATTATATATTATTTTTATTATATACAAATATGGGATTTCACAGTCATGTAATGCGAGTTCTTAAAGCGATGAAGTTGTTCACAAGAGCACACTGCTAACCGACAAAGTCACAACACAGTGGACATCCGTACTTGGAGTCCCGACGAAAATATTTCCCATTCAAAGTGAGGGTATTTATTTTTTGGCACATTTTAATTATGAATAGTAGCCACTTTCGGAATATACTCACAAACTTTTTTTGGGTAGTAGCATTTCTCATTCACATGATGCTGTGTGATTCTGCAAGACTGTATTGGCGCGCTTGACGGCACATATGTGGAGGCACATCTCCCGCCTCAGGAGGCACCGCCATATTTTGACCGTAAAGGACGGCACATGCAAAACATACTCGCAGCATGTGATTTCGATTTGTGTTTTACTTTTATATCTTGCGAATGGGAGGAAAGTATGCATGACAATAGAGTTTTTAACGAAGTAACACAGGACCCAGCCAAACAATTCCCTATGCTAGAGGAAGGTAGGATGAACGACACATCTTTTTTTGTTTGTATTAGTTGTGTGCATTTCATATTTGTAATCGACCACCGTACTAATGCGAAATTATTTATTTACTACCAGGAAAATACTACCTTGTTGATGTGGGGTACAAGAACCAAAAAGGATTTTTGGCGCCGTTAAGGGATGTCGCTACCACCAGGAGGTGTTTCGCGCAACAGGACGGCCAAAAAATGCAAACGAAATTTTCAATACGGTGCACTCCTCCTTACGGAGTGCAATTGAACGTACGTTCAGCGTATGGAAAGCGCGATGGGGATTCCTATATAACATGCCGCGATATGATTTCGGGAAAGTGTATGTGCCATTGGTTGGTGCTTCAATGGCAATACATAATTTTATACGCCACAACTCGAGCGACGATGAAGCATTCAACAAGGTTGCGAATGCAGAGAATTTTACATTCAATGACATGCCAAATGTTTACGGTCTTGGTGACGATGATGATGGTGAACTAGAGGGCGACGATGACGTACATATGAACGAAGTGAGGAAATCAATACGGAATGAATTAGTGCAACATCGGCGTCAACTTGGGTTGTAAATCCTGTTCGGTCTGCACGAGGTGATGGCAAACGAAATGAATATGTGAAACTGTTGTAAGTGTCAAAAAAAATGCACGATTCTGTTGGTAAGTTGCAAGTTCTGAAGGGCGTTTACCAAATTGTAATGTGGAAATTAATTAATGTAAGTGCGCAATTTGTTGGGAAAAATTAAGAAAATAAATATGCCTAAAAAAAAAATTAAAATAAAAATAATTAACAAAACTGTCATAATAATTTTAAAAAATTTGCTACGGGTATTTTGGTCTTTTGCAATAATTGTTTGGATAATTTGGTAATTGTTTGTATAAAAAAAATAATACATTCACTAATAAACTTGTAATAATAAAAATAATAAATTCGTAAAAAAGAGAATAATAAATTTGTAATAATAAAATATTTGGTCAAATTTGGAAATTGTAGTACTAATAAAAAAAAATTAAAGTAAAAATAATTAACAAAACTGTCATAATAATTTTAAAAAATTTGCTACGGGTATTTTGGTCTTTTGCAATAATTGTTTGGATAATTTGGTAATTATTTGTATAAAAAAATAACACATTTACTAATAAACTTGTAATAATAAAAAAAATAAATTTGTAAAAAAGAGAATAATAAATTTGTAATAATAAAAAATATTTGGTAAAATTTGGAAATTTTAGTACGAATAAAAAAAAAATGAAATTGTTGGAACATGCGGTGGCGGTTACTTGTGAAAATAGTGTTGACGTACACAAGGACAGCATCGTAATTTTTAGTAAAAGATAAGGGTATTTTCGTTATTTTGCAGTGATTTGACACTTTTAAAAAATATTAAACCAAAAATAAAAAAAAAAGTCAACTTTTTACCAACTTTCCAAATCACTTCCAAAAAAGTCAAAAAATTTGGTAAAAAATCAAAAGTCAACTTTTTACCAAATTCCCAAAGCACCCCTAAGTAACACTTTAATCATTTAAACTGTAAAAGTTTACAAATACACCCCATAAACTATTAAAAAGTTATATTTTACCCCTAAACTATATAAGTGTATAAATAAATTTCTTAAACTATAGAAGTGTATAAATTGAACATCTTAAGTGCATGGGTCAAAGTAAAATACGTCAATAGTTTAAAAGGTCAATTTATTAAGGGCAAAGTGATACTTCTCGTTTGGCATAAACTACTTTAGTATTCTTTTTATCTTTTTTGGGTCATATTATTTTTATAATTTTCTGTATATTTTTTCATAAAAAGTCAAAAACTACCCTTATTGAGATTATCCCAAACAACAATTCATATGTTTTTATAATTTAAAGAGTCAAAGTGGTATTTTTTAATCGTTTAGATGGTCTTTGTATAAATAATCCAAAATAATAAGCAAAATTAAGTTGAGAGGAAAATCAACGATTTGAGTTGATGGAGCAGCGACGAGAGTTGTAGTTGTAATATAATTCTATTAACAAACTAATATTCTACAATTTGAATAATAATAATAAAAATTTAGAATAATGAGATAAATAAAAAAAGGTAAATTATAAACATATTTTCGAGATTTACTTAAATTATAAATTACTCTATGTGGTTCTAGAAATTACATTATGTTCCTAAAGTTTTTAATTTTATAACAAATAGGTCATTTTATTAATAAATTATCAAGTTAATTAACAGTTTTAATAATATTAAAATTTTATTTCAATTAATAATTCAGATAATTTTATTATTATGTAGGTGAACTGTTAGAAATTTTATTTTTTCAATTAATTTTGTTAAATAAAAAATTCTAAAAAATAAATATTTATACTTTATAAATTACAAAAAATAATTTATATTTTAAACAAATCTCAAAAACTGTATTAGTAATTTATCCATAAAAAAAATGGTAAAAATATGTGAGATGAGGCTACGACATCGTTACTTTCTTTTAGTCGCCTCGAAATGCGTAAACCTTAATCCAATTTCAAAACTTCCAAGGACAAAACCAATGATAATCTGCACGAACTGCTAGTCTTCAGGTTTTCCAGCTCGAAGATCTCAGACCCTCTATCCCCACCAATTTTTCCCATATGGGTTTGCCCGAAATCGTCGATGTTGCTCGCAATTTCGCTGTTATGATCAGAGTTCAAGGCCCTGTAACTCTCTCTCTCTCTCTCTCTCTCTCTCTATGTATATATATATGCATATGTGTGTGTGTGCAAATAGACAATTTACTTTAATTTATATCTGTTTGATTGTAACTGGGTTGCAATTTCTTCCATTAATTTCAGGACCCAAAGGGTCTGAAGATGAGAAAACATGCTTTCCATCAGTATAAGTAAGTGATACACATATCTATACTAGCTCAAGTCTCCTTGACTATGTCATATTTTGGGTTATTTTTGGTGAATTAATTGAATTTTGTTTTCTATTGGTGTGTTATGTATGTGCATAGCTCTGGCAAAACAACACTTTCAGCCTCTGGGATGTTATTGCCTGGTTTCAATGTTGCTCCAGGAGCTAAGAAAATTGAGTGCAGTGACAAACCGGGTTCGGTGGTGGTGGTAACTGTTGCATCTGTTGTTGAGCCTTTTCTGTCATTACAGCATAGGGTGAACATGTCTCAGGTTGGAGCCGTGTAGATTTGATTTATATTTATACCCAATTACTAGATATGATATTCAATTCTTGCTTTTTATGTGGGGAAAAGTGTATTTAAATAATGGGAACGGCTCCAAATAATTGCACTTTCATATAGGTGCAAGTGAGCTTGTGTCCGGCACAAGTGAAAGCTGTGATGCGGGACACAACTCTCACTTGCACATCCATGAAAGTATAATTATTTTGAATTGTTCCACTTCAATCAAAATTTCCCTTTTATGATGTGTGAGCATGCTTGCATTCACCTCATTTACTTTGAAATTCTTGCAGGAGAAACCGGAGTTGATTCCTGGTGTTCATATTGAGATAATGTTAGAGGTGTAATCTCCACTGTCAAGTTTCTTTTTAGTGTATTAAAGTGTTTGACAATCTTAATTTATTGGCTTACAAATTATATGCGTTTTGATTTAAGGGGAAGAAAGGGATGGAGTACAACACTAAAGGGTCAGACGAGCAAGTTCCTCTTTGGTTATCTGCTCGGCTTTTGGCATTGGTAGGCATTTAAATCATGTTTGTTGGATGAGCATTTTACATGAATGATGGTAATTTAATTTCCTAAGTTTGGCATAGACTGATGTTTTATCTCTCTCCCTGGACCACCTGGATCACATGAGGGAATCAAACTAATTCATAGTAGTGGTCACAATGCCTTGTATTGAGTGATTAATGATCTTGCACTTAGATGTTTAGTTTCCTTTTCCTAATTTTGCATAAATTAGTTGCTTTTATTATTTCTGTATATAAGTGACTTTTGACACTAACAATTCGATGTATAACATGAAGGTTGATGTTCCTGTATCTTCTATTGCTGTCGAATCCATCATTCAAGCTTCTTCTGGCTCATTGGAGCATCAGTGGGAGGTTGGTTGGTCCTTAGCCTCGTACATTGATGGTCCTCAACCTTTAATGGATACTATACAAGCTCAGGTATCTAGTCTTAGTGTCTTTCTCTTTTTCTTCATTTCTTGCGTAAATTTGTTTCCACTAGGACAAATTCATGAATGGAAAAAATTCCTAGATTCTCTACATTTTAGAGAAGAAATGGAAAGAAGAAAGTTGTAGACTCTAATGCCATCAATTTAGTATTGATACCTTATGTTATTAGCTTATAGTTGTTTCACATTTTGAAAAGTGATGCTTTGGCTAGTTGATGCCTGGTTTATATTGGTGGAGATGAATTTTGAATCATTATATGTGATTTGCAATTTATGTTTTTTATGTCATTGCTTGCTAAATCTTAAGCATGTGCGACCCTCTCTTGCTTGTGGAGAGGCAAACAAGCTAAACTGTGTGAACCAGCCTATCCTCTGTATAGGGCTTACATGTGGTTGGACCAATTTATCTTTGAATACTCGAGGGGATTTGGGGGACCAGTGAGGCTGGAGGAAAGAGCGATCGCAAATCTCACAGAGTGAATAGTGTTTAAGTTGATAGCAAGGGTAGAGGAATTTTTTTTTTTTTAAAAAAAAAAAATTTCCAATGCAACATGGTACACAAACACACACATACAAATTGTACAATGACAAACATAATAGGGGAGATTTTAGAGAAGAAATGGAAAGAAGAAAGTTGTAGACTCTAATGCCATCAATTTAGTATTGATACCTTATGTTATTAGCTTATAGTTGTTTCACATTTTGAAAAGTGATGCTTTGGCTAGTTGATGCCTGGTTTATATTGGTGGAGATGAATTTTGAATCATTATATGTGATTTGCAATTTATGTTTTTTATGTCATTGCTTGCTAAATCTTAAGCATGTGCGACCCTCTCTTGCTTGTGGAGAGGCAAACAAGCTAAACTGTGTGAACCAGCCATCCTCTGTATAGGGCTTACATGTGGTTGGACCAATTTATCTTTGAATACTCGAGGGGATTTGGGGGACCAGTGAGGCGGGAGGAAAGAGCGATCGCAAATCTCACGGAGTGAATAGTGTTTAAGTTGATAGCAAGGGTAGAGGAATTTTTTTTTTTTTAAAAAAAAAAATTTCCAATGCAACATGGTACACAAACACACACATAACAAAATGTACAATGACAAACATAATAGGGGAGCAAACACAAATCATGAGTCTTGAACCCAAGACCTCCTAAAAACCAGAGCTATAATTACATGTTAAGTTACCGATTGTCCCAAAAGGTTAAGTTGTTAAGAGATGGACAACAATGTATATTATTATGCCATGTCTTTGAGATTTTACACATCAACGAGCATGTTGGAGATTAAAGGCTAAGGTTGGGGGAATATCTTTCCTAAAATATATCATAGCATGATGTGATATTGTTAAGGTGGGTAGAATCATATATTGTGTAAGTTTTGTTTGGTGTACTTCCCGTGATATTGTTAAGGTGGGTAGAATCATATATTGTGTAAGTTTTGTTTGGTTTACTTCCCGTGCAAATGGTTTTCGCTTTTTTTCCTTCCTGTAAGTAATCGTTTGCACTCCCTTCCCTAGGCTCATTTCATAAGATGATACACTCAATTGAACAAAAGGAAATTTCTTTAATCCCTATAATTATTACTTTTTAAAGATACAGTGAAATAAAATTTAAACTAAAAAAAAAGGAATTTAATTCTATGTTTCCATGTGAGAGATAAGAAACCCTTCTTGTGTTTTCAATTCTTCCACAATCACTTGTAAAGGAATTGGTGTATCCTTTTTGTCTATGCATGTTTTGGCATGAATGTACCAATACCCATGACATGTTATATTGACAAGGGTATATCCAGCGGAATAGTAGGGCCGATCTTATGTATCTCAATTCAGGGTAATCGCTGACATGATGTGGGAGTGGGAAACTAATGATGGTGCTTTTGCAAACATAGGAAGTTTTTTTTAGTAATAGGGGGATCCTTTCCTGATGCGTAGTGGTGGACAACATGAAGTATTGGAAACTTCTAATTCCTGATCTGTTCTGTTTAACTGATATTAAGAAGTGAAAGAGATATGACCTTGTCCTCTCAAATAGATTGAAGATGATGGTTGACCCTTTCTATCAGAGTAAAAAGTATGGAAAAAGTGGGCTTTGATTCAAGTGCTTTCTTGATGACAAATATTTTCCCACTTACACTTTTGGATGCATGAATGCTTGGTGTTTGCAAGGATGAAGATTAATGTCAGATGGGCTTGTAACCCTATAAACAATAGATGCAATGGTCCTAGTTGATGTGTCTCAGGATAATCAAGTAGGTTAGGTTCTAAACAGTCATGATTTTAAGCATTGTAAGAAAGCATCTGGCCAGGTTCTAAATGCCAATTTTTAGACTTTCAGCCTGAGACTATGGTTAATATGCCTGCATGCAGGTGAAACTGTTGTTTTCCACACTCAAATATTATCCTCTGATTTCAACAGCCCCATAAATATTTCCTTAACTCAAGGGGACTCAAAAGCCTTGACATCAAAGATAGTTTTTTTGTGGGTCCTGACATATGAACTTTCAACTGATCGCTTCAGACTGGGCAATCTTCCATGCAGAGACATAGGCACATGGTAGAGGGAGAGACAAGCAATCCAAGCTTTATGGGCAGGTCAATTGCCAAAATTGCCCTTCTTGGAGTTTTCTCAACAAATTCTAAGGTACTCTTGAGTTCTCTCTCTATCTCCCTTCTTTCTTTGTAGCATAACATATGGTGAATAATCTGCAACATGACAAATAGATGTGCAAAGAATTTTCCTTTTCTGCTGGTATTCTTTTGCACTTCTGTTGCATATTCATGAGAACGAGAATGACAGCTCAAGTAATTTTTATTTAGGATATGCACAATCTAAACATATCACCCTCAATTAAGAGGGGAGATCTTCTTCTGGCTATGGGATCTCCTTTTGGTGTCTTGTCTCCTGTGCACTTCTTTAACAGGTAGTGTTGCTCATGCCAGGATTTATTTTATGTTTTGATTTCTGTGTTTCGTGGAAAGATTGCATTGTCTCCATTTTGTGATATGCATTTGAATTTTAAAACATACAGTAAGATTGGGATAATGAGGAATGATTAAGTCACACTACTCTTGAACATATTAAGCTTTTACAACAGGTGGTTATTAACACGTGATGGTATAAGTGCAAAAAGGTCCTATTTTCAAATTCCAATACCTTCAAATAACATAAGTTGAACCAAATAACACTCCTTAATGGCTTTATGCTTTTGAAGTTGGTTGTGAAAAGCATTTGAGTGCATTGGTCATCTTTCCTCCCATACCATGCTCTACTAGAAGTTTCACAAACCGAGTTATTGTTTTTTTGTAATTAGAAGCAAAGAAGCTTATTCTAATTCAAACTTAAATTAATGTTCATGCTATTGTTCTGTATGAAGAAACGTTTTCCTTACTGTTTTGTTGCATGTGATATTTTTGCTGTTTGCATCAGTATATCAGTGGGATCTGTTGCCAACTGCTATCCTTGTGGTTCCTCGAAGAGATCATTGTTGATGGCAGATATTCGTTGTCTTCCTGGTGCGAGGATTTCTGGCTTAGAACTCTTCGTTTGTTGATTGGTTTCGGGTTATGATTGCTTTTTAACAATGAAAATGTCAGGAATGGAAGGTGGTCCTGTGTTTGGGGAGAATGGACTACTCATTGGTATACTGACAAGACCGTTAAGACAAAAGACTAGTGGTGCCGAAGTTCAGGTAAATTGGTAATTGGAAACATTCTGTCCTCTCCTTGTATACAGTAGGCCCTTAAATGACTAAATCAATGGTTGAGATACACATTAAGCATTGGAAATTTCATATCAAATAATAATTACTTGTTGTAAGCCCTTAAATGACTAAATCAATCACTGAGACATAAAGTATTGGAATCATTAAAAATAATAATAATTTGTTATTTTATTTTTGAAAGTATTATTCCCTAATACTTCATGTACGGGGAAAAGATATTCGTCGCTGTCCGTACTCCTTTCGTCCAAGCTCCGAATCTATTTGATCAACCTGGGAATACAACGACGGTGTGTTGTCGGAAAACCCCTCCGACGGTCAAGTTAGCACACACTCAGAGAGAGAGAGAGAGAGAGAGAGAGAAACTCAATGAATGTAAGTCTATCTCACCAAATGATGTTCCATCCTCAGCATGGGGGGCGCAGTCAAGCTTATATACTTTCTGCGCTTATATCTGCTCCCATTAGTCTCTTGACATGTAGAGCTGCTCTCCCATCTGTCAACACAAATCCCACAATCACCATCTAACCAAACCGCCAGACAACATTAACAGGATCTCGGCAGATCGGCGGAATCACCTCGGTCTTCCACGTCTGTGTTGCGTAACGTGTCCGAGTGCTCCACTCGCCGAGCTCTATAACAGCCGAGCTTAGTAGCATTCCGGCATAACCGAGTTTAAGATTAGCCGAGCCGGTGAACAGAAGACTTTACCACCGAGCTAACCATGCTCCTCCAAAACCTGTGTAGCAGATGCTCATCTCGGCCCAGCAAGTCCAAATTCGGGAGAGTTCGGTCAATCACATGGCCGCGGACCTCAGGCCTGGGCCTCGACCGAGCAAGATCACCTCCAGGGAAGCCCCAGTTAGCTCGGCCTAGGTAGGGGCTGGGCCTCGACTGAGCAAATCCCACTCCAAATCAAGCCCAAGTGATCTCGGCCCAAACATGCTCGGCCCTGACCTGTTCGACCTCTTCCACGGTCCAAAGCCAGATTATAAATCTCCCTCTCAATTGCCCCTTAATTCTGTCTGCGCAAGCGTGACTGGGATTACATGATCCGTCCGGGGTAGACTCTTCCCAGGTCCTCAGTTTGCAAGACAGTAACCGCACTAATCTCCATGCCCGGTTTCTGGGCTTGCTCGGTTGACGCCTCTACTTGCCATCTTGTCTCTTCAGTACTGACGCCGCCGCCATTATGAACACACGTCGTGCATTTATTGGCCTCGAGCAGCCAACCCAGACGTCCTTTCAAATTCGAATTTTGGCGGCCTTTTTCTCTTACATATACACCTCTCCCCCCTTTCATTTCCTCCTTACTGACTCTCTTCCGTTCCAGACGACCTGAAGCTACAGTGCCCTCCTCAAGCTCCATTCCTGCCCTCCTCTGCGTTTGTGTTCGAGGAACCAGCTCTTGCCTCTATACTGGTAAGCTTGTTGAATCTCTTTATAGCTTTTCCCTTTTTTATTTCACATTTTAAGGCACCAAAACCATAGATTTTAGGGTATAGCTCCCCAAAACCCACCTCTACCCCTGTTCCCTTTACTGTTCTTCAGTCTAAATGATGAACACATGAAGATCTGGAGCGGACCGGGCTCCAGATCTTCTTTTGATCCCCCAAAACATCTAAACCGAGCAAATTGCGAGTTTGTAAAAACTCCTGTAGGAATTGAGGTAGGTAGAGGGTTTGACCGCTTGACCGGGCTAACATTTGGGCCGCTTAAGCGGCTGAGCTTCTAGATTTACCTTTATGACCGGGGTGGTCTGGCACTCCACCTGATCGAGCTAAAGTCAAGCTCGTTTTGCGCGACCGCGCTCCCACTTACACTTATCCTCCTTTTCCTGCAGAGTCCACGGGGACCACGCACCAACATTGAGGCTCTCAAAGGCCGAGCAGCCACCAAACAAGAGTTTGTGCCAAACCAACACAGCCGTGCTAAAACTAGCCGGCTACACATGGGGCGCTACTGCTTCCTGGTCGACATGCCGGTCGTTCTAGCCGCGTTCCGGGAAGAATACGGTATCCCAGCCGACGTACATCTCGAGCTTGGTGCCGAGGAAACAACCCCCTGGGGCAGACTAGACCAGTGCCCTTTCACAGTGCTATCCATAATAGAAGGTGGCCTCCGCTTCCCGGTTAACCCCCTTTTGTGCGAGTTCTTGCGGCGTATCGGGCTAGCGCCAACCCAAGTCTCAACCAACTCTTACAGGATAGTTAACGGGATCCACGAACTGATCAACCGGCTAGGAACCAATCTAGGATTAGCCGAAATACTTCGCCAGTATACCCTCGGGCATACGGGCGACGGCCTTGCCTATTATTTAAATATCAGACCAGGCAAGGGGAAGATAGTGATCGGCACCCCGGATAAAGACATGCACGACGACGACTTTTTCTGGGTGCCCGGTAATTATGAAACGGCCGACGTGCCGGGCTAGTATATAAGCAAAAATTTCGGCGAAACATGTAAGCCGTACTAACTGCTCAGTCAAATTTCTTCCTTTCTAAATTCCATACTTAATATCTTTTTTTCTTTTGCAGCAATTGAGGCTTTGCAAGCCAACTACCATTATCCTAACGAAGCAGCCATCAGAACCGTGCTGCGGTACCGAAACCGAGATTGTCACGAACTTCTCGGCTACGTACCGACCTACCGATACTCCGCTCCACACCGGAGTAGAGTGACAGACTTTATTCGAGCGCCATCGCCACCTCCTGACCCGACATTACCCGATGTGCCCTTCATCCGGCTGACCGAGGCAGAGGAGATGGCCAAATGAAGCCGTATCAAGAATCTCATCACCGCCACATCCACCGAGCTACCGAGCATCCCGCCTCGCACTTCAAGGGCTGGGCAAACATCTGAGGCCGTTATTGCCTTGGCCTTAACCCCCCCATCACAGGCCAGCAAGGACACCCGCTGAGCTGGAAAAAGGCCTCGAACTGCCGATCCCTCAGCTGAGCTAGTCGCGGAGCTGAACATCGAGCAACCCGCGGTCACAACCGAGCTACCACTGCCCTGGAAGCCCCAGTTGAAGCACTGGGGTAAGGAGATCCCGGCAACCGCCTCGGTCAAAGGCGACAAGGAACACCTCCTAGCCTTCGACCTGACAAAAGCCCTTCTACTGCCGAGCGACGTGGTCGGCAGCGATCACGTGCCCGACACCCGGCTGGTGAAGTCCTCGATCAAGTCCATGACCCAGGTAAGAGTTTTGCATGCTTTATTCAAATTTTTCGAAGTGTTGCTCGGTTCCATCTCTAATCAAACTCTCTTCTTGCAGGCCATCCAAAAACAACACCTTGTACTGGAGCGGATTCACAGACTCCGGCAGAAGGCAACCGACGCTGCCAGCCAAGTTGAGCACCTTCAGACCGAGCTGGGGCGATCAAAAGCTTCTTTGGAGATCGCGAACTTCGACAACTCCAGATTGCTTGGCCAACTGGGTGCCGCCGAGAAAGAAAGGGACGCTCTCCGGGCCGAGCTGGAAGCGTTGAAGCAATCGAGGAAGGACGAACTGGACAAGGCGAACAACGAAGGTTTCAATGAGGCCGAGGAAAACTATACCAAGCAAGTGGAGGCCACCAATAACATTTTCTTCAAGTCCGGGTGGAAAGCTGCTTGCAAATAGCTCGGCTAAGGATCTGGGACCGACGTGTTTGCCTCTCCCCCCATTGCCTTTCTGCCGGCATACATGGTGCCATATGCCAATGACGTCTTCAGCGCGCTGCAGGCTGAGGCCGAGGAAGAAGAAGGCTTGAAGGAGGCCGAGGAAACTGCCGAGGGAGATAACCGCCCAAAGCAGGGCGACCAAGTTGAGACCGGCGTCAAAGAAACCACAATCATGATCGACTTGGAGGCAACCTCAACCGGGGATGACTTCGCCAGCCTGACCCCCTTGGTTTAGTTGTCTTTTTCTTCTTTGTTTTTAAGAATATAATCGGGCTGCCAGCCCCACCGTATATAATTCTATTCCTCATCAATGAAAAGTTCTGATTTCGTTTAGTGTTTGCACTGTGTTTAAACTAAACAACTTTGGCCGGGGTAAATCACCTTGGCTTAGCAAATCATCAACTCGTCCTTGAACGAATTATCAACTCATATAGCCGAGATAAACCATCTCGGTTGATAAAACATCAACTCATTTAACCAGAGCAAAATCATCTCGGTCTAAATCACAGAGTTGAGCAAATCATCAACTCACGTAACCAGAGAAAAACATCTCGGTTTAAGCTGAGTAAATCATCAACTCATTCAACCGAAATAAAACATCTTGGTCTAAGTTGAGTAAATCATCAACGAATTTAACCAGAGCAAAATCATCTCGGTCTAAATCACAGAGAGTTGAGCAAATCATCAACTCACGTAATCGGAATAAAACATCTCGGTCTCAGTTGAGTAAATCATCAACTCATTCAACCGGAATAAAACAACTCGGTCTGAGCTGAGTAAATCATTAACTCATTCAACCGGAATAAAACATCTCGGTTGAAATTTCAGAGTTGAGTAAATCATCAACTCATTCAACCGGAGTAAAACATCTGGGTTGAAATCTCATAGTTGAGTAAATCATCAACTCATTCAACCAGAGTAAAACATCTCGGTTGAAATCTCAGAGTTGAGTAAATCATCAACTCATTCAATCGGAGTAAAACATCTCGGTTGATATCTCAGAGTAAGCATCGAAAACAACAGAATGCTCCAGCAAAGTCAAGTCACTTCTATTATATTGATAAAAAGAGTTATATTCTGAAGCGTAAGGCAAACAAATCCTTGCTCAAAAGAATAACATAAAAACTATGAGAAACTTAAAAATAGTATAGTTTGAGGTTGGCTACATTCTATGGCCGGGGTATGCCTTTGCCATCCAAATCTTCCAAGTGGTATGCCCTCTTGCTTGCCAGACCGGTTATCCTGTAGGGTCCTTCCCAGTTTGCCCCTAGCTTGCCTTCGCCTGGCACCAGGGTGTTGCCCATGACCTTCCTTAAAACCCAGTCGCCTACTTTAAACGGTTTAGGGTGCACGGTTTTGTTGTATTTCCTAGACAATTCTTGTTGGTACGCAACCACGTGAATCAAAGCTTTTTCTCAGCGCTCTTCAACAAGGTCCAACTCCAAGGCTATTGCTTCAGCATTTAGCTCCGGCTCAAAATTTTCACTGCGGATGGTGGGCATGCCGATTTCCAATAGGATGACTGGTGGGCATGCCGATTTCCAATGGAATGACCGCCTCCATGCCGTATGCCAAGGCAAAAGGAGTTTTCCCGGTAGATCGCCGCGGGGTCGTACGGTATGCCCAAAGGACATGTGGGAGTTCCTCGGCCCATTTTCCTTTGGCTTTCTAAAGTCTTTTCTTCAACCCATCAAGAATGGTTTTGTTTGATGCTTCGGCTTGGCCGTTGGACTGCGGGTAAGCTGGGGTGGAGTTGTAGAATTCAATCTTCAATTCTTCACAAAATCCTCTGAATAGGCGCCCGTCAAATTGGGTGCCATTGTCAGAGATCAGAATTTTAGGGACGCCAAACCACATTACCACATTCTGCCAGACAAACCGTTTGACGTCTTTCTCCTTGATAGTTGCTAAGGGCTCTGCTTCAACCCATTTGGTGAACTAGTCCGTAGCCGCGATAAAGAACTTCCGGTTGCCTGGTGCCGTTGGGTGTGGTCCTACTATGTCCAGCCCCCACATCGCAAAAGGCCAAGGGCTTGTGAGGGGAAGAAGTTCTCTGGCCGGCTGGTGAATTTGGTGGGCGAACTTCTGACACCTCTCACATTTGTGAACATATTTCTGAGCGTCCGCTTGCATGCACGGCCACCATTACCCTTGCGAAATAGCCCGGTAGGCCAAAGTTCTGCCCCCGATGTGACTGCCGCATATGCCTTCATGAATTTCGTACAGGAAAGCTTCCATGCTGTTTGGGTGTACACACTTGAGATAGGGGCCGTTGAAAGACTTCTTGTATAAAGCGCTAGATGGAGAGAGCCAAAACCGCTCTGACTTCACCCGGACTTTATGCGCTTCCTTTTTATCTGCTGGAAGGGTCCGCTCCTTGAGGAAGAGGATAATAGGGTCCATCCAAGAAGGACCCTGCTCGGTGCAAAGTACCTCTGTCAGCTCGGTTTCCTCGATACTTGGCCTTGGAAGATACTCAATCAGGAGAGGACTGGGAGATGTTCGATCGACCATGGAAGCCAGACCGGCTAACTCATCCGCACGGCCGTTGTCTTCCCGGCCAATTTGTTGGACCCTGATTGCCTGGAATCGCTTAATGTGTTCTCTCACTAGAGCTTGGTATTTCGCCATTTTGTCATCTTTAGCTTCGTAAACCCTAGACACTTGGTTGACAATGAGTTGGGAATCGCTGTAAACCATCAGCTCGGATACGTGCACCTGAAGGGCGCTCTTGAGCCCGGCCAACAGCGCCTCGTACTCAGCCTCGTTGTTTGATACAGGGAACCCGAGGGTGATGGAGTGTTCAATGGTCAGACCATCTGGTAAAATCAGAACTATGCCTAGCCCGGCATCGTGACGGTTCGAGGCTCCATCTACAAAGAGTTTCCACATTTCGCCGACAAAGAGCTTCCAACACTCTGAGGGGTCCTGGGAGGCTTGAAGGTTGAGGGGATCGCGGTCGCTCGGTTGTTTGGCTTCAGTTTCAATGCTGATCAGTTCCAATTCCTCCTCCCTCGGAGATGCGGCACCAGACCCAACAGGTTGGTTTGTTATGCCCAAGGCCGTCGCCACATCGCCGGTCTACAATATCATGCCGGTTGGAGGTTCTACGGCGGGGCGCACAGGTTTCGCGTTGCCAACATCGCCGTGCTGTGTAATTTCGGTTGAGCCTGCATTCACCTCCTCAGCTGCCGTGGCAAGATCCACCAGGCATATTGGATGAATGCCAGGTGAGAATTCAGAAACGAAATCGGCCAAGGTCTGTGCTTTTATGGCAGTTCGTGGTTGGAACTTGACGTCAAATTGTCCCAATTCGACCGCCCACTTGAGGATTCGACCGGAGAAATCCGTCTGCTCGAACAAGGCTTTGAGGGGGAACTCGGTCAAAACGATGATTGTGTGAGCATGAAAATAGTGCGCCAATTTCCTTGAGGCCATCATCAACGCCAAGGCAAGTTTTTCCAGTGGCAAGTATCTCGACTCTGCCGGTAGCATGGTTTTGCTAACGTAAAAAATGAGGAAATGCTGGAAGCATTCTGACCGGACAAGCACCGCGCTAACTGCATGCTGAGAGACGGCCAGATAAAGGTAGAGTTCTTCGCCGGGCTTTGGCGTCACCAATAATGTAGCAGAAGACAGATATGTCTTTAGCTCGGCCAAAGCCTTGTCGCATTCCTCGTCCCATGAAAACTTGGATTTTAAGGCTCGAAAGAAAGGGCGACAGCGATCTGATGACCGACTTATGAATCTGTTAAGCACGGCTGCCATACCGGCAAGATGCTGCACGTCCTTCGCCGAGTTTGGCTGCTTTAACTCTTGTACGGCTCTGATTTGTGTGGGGTCTGCCTCGATGCCTCGGTTTGTGACTAGGAAGCCCAAGAATTTTCTGGATCTCATACCAAAGGCACACGTGGACGCATTCAAGCGTAGCTTGTGCTGTTTGAGAATGGCGAACATCTCGGCTAGGTCGGTTAAGTGGTCTGCTTGATGTCGGCTTTTGACCACCATGTCATCGATATAAGCCTCCATCGTCCGGTCTAGCATAGGAGTGAACATTTTGGTCGTCATCCTTTGGAAAGTCGCCCCGGCGTTCTTCAAACCAAAAGGCATGACTCGGTAGCAGAAGAGTCCCCTTGGAGTAGTAAAGGAGGTGATTTCACGGTCGGGGCCATGCATGGCAATCTGATGATAACCGCGGTAGGCATCCAAGAAACTGAGCCTGCTATGTCTGGCCGTTAGATCCACCAGCTGGTCTATTCGGGGCAGGGGAAAGCTGTCTTTAGGGCAAGCTCGGTTGACGGTCTTGTAATCGATACAAACTTGCCACTTTCCATTCTTCTTGGGCACTACGACCGTGTTTGAAATCCACCGAGGATAGTGCACTTCCTGAATAGCCCGTGCCTCAAGCAAGTTCCTTACCTCCTCCGTGACTACCTCGGCGTGGTGCAGCGCCGATCTTCTCGTTCTCTGAATGACCGGCCATGCACCGGAGAAAACATTGAGGTGATGACAAATAAAGCTTGGATCGATGCCGGGCATGTCGTAGTGCGACTATGCGAAGACTTCGATATTTGCCATCAAGAACTCTACCATTTCGGTTCTTTCTTGGGCGGTAAGGCTTGATCCGAGCAAAAAGAACTTGTTCGGACTTTCCGTGTCAATCCGCACTTCTACCAACTCTTCAACAGCTTTGTCCTCAGCCTTGGCGCCCACATCTTCAAGGACTCCCTGGTCCTCCGGTCCTTTGATCATTTGGACGAAACCTTTGGCAGCTCGGCTCCCGTTCACTGCCACGAAGCATTGCTTCGACATGACTTGATCACCCCAAATTTCCTCAATTTCCCCCATAGCCGAAGGGAATCTCATAACGTGGTGGTAGGTCGACGCTACAGCTTGCATAGCGTGAAGCCATCCCCTACCGAGGATCAGATTGTACGTAGACGGCACTTGCAGTACCCAGAACTCCACTTGCTTGACCACGGTTTCGGCTTTGACTGGTAAAATTATCTTTCCCAAAGGCCATTCCGGTTGCGAGTTGAAACCTACCAGTGGCGAAGTCGCCAGAGCCAAGTCTGTATTACGGAGTTTGAGTTGCTTGAACACATCGTAGTACATAATCTCAACCGAACTTCCCTGATCAATTAAGATGCGCTTGACATCGAACTCTTTGATGCGAAGAGTGACCACTAAGGCGTCGTTGTGTGGCATTTGAATGCGCTCCAGGTCCCTGGTAGAGAAACTAATCATGTCTTTTTGCTCGGTCTTCCTCCTTTTGATCGCGGGCTGGACTGACAAAACTTCCCTCATGTGTTCAGCCTTTTTGATCATTCCTCGGAGCTCGCATGCACGCGCCGGCTCCACTATGCCGTGGATCACATTAACCACTTGTTAAAATCCACCTACTCTCCACCTACTTCACCCACTTAAACCTACTCCACTAAACCTAACCCACTACACCACTACCACCTCACCTACTCCACTAAACCTAACCCACTACACCACTACCATCTCCACTTCACCTACTCCTTACCTACTACACACTCACCCTCTTCTATATATAGGAATCATGAATCATTGTAATAGATATCAATATATCGATCAATAATAATACATACAATTTATTCTCTCTCTTTCTCTATACATTATTTCTTACATGGTATTAGAGCTGGTTTAAAACCTAGTATTTTCGCTTCCCCGGCGGGCGGCAACCTCACCTTAGCCGCCCGCCGGACCTCAACCTATTCCGCTGATAAAATCAACAAAGATTTGTGCAACTGTAGTCATGTGTGAGGCTGATGGAGAAGAATTCTTTACCTCATATGACGAGACAGTCTGGAACTGGAAACACTGCAACATTCTGCTCTGGAATTCTGCAGCAGCTAGATTATAGCTTGGTTGTGTGCCAAGCTTTGGTTCTTCCACCCACTCTTGAACTTGCCCAGCAAAGTGTGAAGGTTCATGCTTGTGTTGGAGGGACTAGTGTGCGCGAAGATCAGCGCATTCTCTCCAGTGGGGTTCATGTTGTTGTTGGTACTCCTGGTCGTGTGTTTGACATGTTGCGGAGACAATCACTTCGCCCTGTTTACATCAAAATGTTTGTCTTGGATGAAGCTGATGAAATGCTGTCACGAGGTTTTTAAAAATCAGATCTATGATATTTTCCAATTGCTGCCACCCAAAATCCAGGTTGGGGTGTTCTCAGTTGCTGCCACCCAAAATCCAGGTTGGGGTGTTCTCAGTTGCTGCCACCCAAAATCCAGGTTGGGGTGTTCTCAGTTGCTGCCACCCAAAATCCAGGTTGGGGTGTTCTCAGTTGCTGCCACCCAAAATCCAGGTTGGGGTGTTCTCAGTTGCTGCAAGTGTTGCTTCAGAGGCAAACAGTCCTCTGTCCGGTGTCCTTGCTCCCAATGATATGTACAACGGTACCGTGGATTGAAGTCCTTTTGCGCGGCGCCTATCTTAGCAGGAAACCAGACGTAATCCTCGTCACGGATTTCACTAAGTATGCGATAAATTGGAATTTTGAAGACCGTGGTGATGCCCGTCCGAGCTTTCAACCTTCTGTTCGCATCAGCTACGTCATCGCGGGGGTATTCAGCTCGGTCATTCCGACGGCCCCTTCCCCGGTTCTGATGATTTGACCCACGGTCAGATTCCTCGACGCAATCATTTGGTCGGTTAGACTCCTGTCTGACCGCGTGTACCTTGCCAGCCGACCTCTTGTCTGTTACCACCGGAATTGTCTTCGCAGTGGATGCCGCCGCATCGTCCTCTACCCAGATGTGCTCATTGATGCACTGCATTAGTTGGCCCATGGATGTCGGCTGGTTTATGGTAAGCGAGTCCCGCAGCCTATGTCCGGCTGGGAGACCGCGCTTATATTGGGTGATGGCCAGGTTGATCGGGCAATCTAAAATCTCGTTGAAGGTTTCCCAGTAGCTGGAGTTGTATGCCTTGAGTGTGTCACTCGACTCTATTTTGACACTGAGAAGGTGGTCCACCTCCTTCGGTGTTTTGGTGTTGGTCTTGAAACGAGTCACAAATGCTTCTGCCAACTGTTGCCACCTTTCGAAGCTTCCCTCTGGCAGCCTCTCAAACCATTTCAAGCCTAGCTCACCTAAACTTGATGGGAAGATAAGGCACATAAGAGCGTCATTGCGCCTATGTCCGGCCATGACTTGCCGGAAGTGGTTTACATTCATGTATGGATCGGTCTTTCCGTCATAGAGCGTAAACTTGGGCTGGTGGAAGCCCGTGGGGAGAGGAGTGGTTTCTATCTCAAAGGAGAAGGGGGTGGCGCTCAGCCGCACCAAATCTGTGTCTAGATGGAGAGGCACGGCTGGGCGGGGTGGTGGCATTATGACCTCTTCACTGGCGCGGCCGCCGAAAGATAGCCGCTGGAGTGCCGGTACCCTTTGAGTCTCCTACCGGCGAGCCCGCTCCTTCAAGACTGCCTGCAAGTCCTCCGAGTGAGCGGAATAGGAATACCTTGACGTCGTCGCCGGATGTGAGGGTTGATAGATACTATCTTGCGCGCTAGACTTCTCTACAGGCGCGTCGGATTCTCCAACCCTGTAGCTTCTGGTGATAGAAAGGGAAGGAGTGTGCCGCTGGCTCTAGCTGCCTGAACGGCGTGGTTGGGTGTGCTCACTGTGGTCTCCCACTCCAGCAACACCCTTCCCTTTGACATATCGTTTGAGATCTTCCATCTCCGCCGCCATTCTCCGGATGACGGCGTCTTGATCCCTTAACTTGTGCTCCAGACGCCTGGCATGCGATTCTTGTCGCCGCCGGTGCCCGTCTGGGCTCCGAGAGCTACCAAAACTTCTACCGCGCGTCTCTTGAATGTCCTCCTAACGAAGTCTCCAGGCCTGCCATGTTTGGAACGGCGGGGAGTCCGTCTCTTCGTCTGGCTGACTCCGGAGTAACACCGTTGATGGCGGACAACGGTATCTCGTCGTTGTTCGCCATGGAAGGCGATCAGATGAGGTTGGAAGACAAGGTTTTGTCTATCAAAGTTCCCACAGACGGTGCCAATTGTACGGGGAAAAGATATTCGTCGCTGTCTGTACTCCTTTCGTCCAAGCTCTGAATCTATCTGATCAACCTGAGAACACAACGGCGATGAACTACCCGGCGGTGTGTTGCCGGAAAACCCCTCCGACGGTCAAGTTAGCACACACTCAGAGAGAGAGAGAGAGAGAAACTCAATGAATGCAAGTCTATCTCACCAAATGATGTTCCATCCTCAGCATGGGGGGCGCAGTCAAGCTTATATACTTTCGGCGCTTATATCTGCTCCCATTAGTCTTTTGACACGTGGAGCTGCTCTCCCATCTGTCAGCACAAATCCCACAATCACCACCTAACCAAACCGCCAGACAACATTAACAGGATCTCGGCAGATCGGCGGAATCACCTTGGCCTTCCACGTCCGTGTTGCGTAACGTGCCCGAGTGCTCCACTCGCCGAGCTCCATAACAGCCGAGCTTGGTAGCATTCCGGCATAACCGAGTTTAAGATAAGCCGAGCCGGTGAACAGAAGACTTTACCACCGAGCTAACCATGCTCCCTCAAAACCTGTGTAGCAGATGCTCATCTCGGCCCAGCAAGTCCAAATTCGGGGGAGTTCGGTCAATCACATGGCCGCGGACCTTAGGCTTCACCTCCAGGGAAGCCCCAGTTAGCTCGGCCTAGACAAGGGGCTGGGCCTCGACCGAGCAAATCCCACTCCAAATCAGGCCCAAGTGATCTCGGCCCAAACATGCTCGGCCCTGACCTGTTCGACCTCTTCCACGGTTCAAAGCCAGATTATAAATCTCCCTATCACTTCATGTATTGGTCGTGTATTCCTTTATAACTATCCTTTGTACACACATGCATTATGAAAATTTGAGAAGATAGTAATTTAATTGACATGTTTAAGAAAATTATTATCACAATGTCTTGTTTGAAATTTTTGTATCTTTTAACTGATATGTGTACATACAGACACACAACTAATGTATATTACAAACACGCTCTTATATCAAGTAATATACAAGAATATTCTAATATGGCGATCAGTGATATCAGAGAGTATGAATTATCATGGAGCCAAGTTGATTGCTTGAAAAGTATTAATATTTTAACATTTAAGATTTGATTGTTTGAGGGCTTACTGTGGCTTAAAATGTCTCATATGTACTGCATCATGCAAAATGTTACTTTGGATGACAGCTGGTGATTCCGTGGGAAGCCATTGCAACTGCTTGCAGTGACTTGCTGCAGGAGGAGCCTCAAAATGCATACAAAGGGATCAATTATAACAATGGGAACTTGAATGCTGTAGGGAGGTTATGTCTATCTAATAGTCTTGACTTAAATGCATCATCCAATCATCTTCATGAGCATCCCAGTTCTGGTTGCCCCCCTTCATCATCACCTATTGAGATGGCAATGGCTTCTATTTGTCTTGTTACCATTGATGATGGAGTATGGGCATCTGGTGTTTTGCTCAACAATGAAGGCCTTATTCTTACAAATGCTCACCTGTTGGAGCCATGGAGGTTTCGAAAAGCAACTGCAAATGGCGAAAGAAATGAAACCAAATCAGAGGTACTTTTCACCCCATCTGACGATTCTTTGCCTTCTGGGCACGAGGAAATTGGTGGTGATCAGAGGTCTCAGGGATTGTTGCCAACAAGATTGAAGACCACACCTTCTGTTGTTGATGATGGTGGGGGCTATAAATTCGACTGGAATACAATGCATAGAAGCATACGCGTTCGCCTGGATCACACTGACCCTTGGATATGGTGTGATGCTAGGGTAGTGTATGTTTCTAAAGGACCTTTGGACATTGCCCTACTGCAGCTTGAGGTCGTGCCAGATCAGCTCTGCCCCATTGTTATGGACTTCACATGCCTGTCCCCAGGATCAAAGGTCTATGTAATTGGACATGGACTATTTGGTCCACGATGTGGTAAGTCCTTTGTTCATTTTTTGTTGTGTTTGGATATTCAATGGAGACAAATTCATTCTTCTATGTTTGGATTTTGGATAAAATTTGGAATGATATGCCAACTAAATCCTTTATTATTTCTATTGTTGATGGTTAATGTCATTGCAATGTCTTCATCCTAGTCCTAGGACTTCTACATAAGTACTCCATCAGACACTTGTTACATTTCAGCTTCAGCATTCTTAAGGGATTTTTGCAGAAAATCTGAGAGGTCTGTGCTTGTTATTTGCATTTTCTCAATTAAGATCTAGTAAGAGTAAAACTATAGGGTTTCATACTTAACAAATTGACACTAGTATTAGGGTAATATAGCCTCTCATACATACTTAAGGTGTAGTCTTCTTAGTGTTCACTAAAAAACTCGAAACAGATTTGATTGTGTGAGATGGCTTTGCTATTGCTTGGTCTAATTGTTTAAAGCTTGGGGTGCCATATGTGTAAACATGGGTACAAGTGTCTTTATTTTTATTTATTTGTAAAAAGAACACTGGTTTGACTATGAGGGCAAATAGTTTTTTGGCAAAATAATGCCAAAAATATCAGCATCCTTGAATAATGAGGATTACTTTCCACATTTATGCCCAGGAAACATAGTTATAGAGGATAGATTTATACATTCAAATAAATAAATAAACAAACAAACAAACAAACAAAAAATTAGTACCATTAATGGGTGTTTGGGACGGGTTAGATTGGGTACTTACCTAACATTTGGCATAAATGCACAAAGTTGTTGCCCTTAGATTTATATATTCAAACGCTAAGGAGAATAAATTGGACTGATTATATTTCCATATAATATTCAACCACGTGCTTACAAGTTTATATGCTATAGAGTAGATTCTTACAAAATGAAGGAACCCAGCTCTTTGGTATGCTGAGAACTCCTTGCACTTGGTTTTGTTTTTAATTTTGCATCAGACTTTTCTCCATCTGCTTGTGTTGGTGTCGTGGCAAAAGTTGTTGAAGCTAGGAGGCCTCTACCGTACAGAACCAGCCAACAGTACAATGTATTTGGAAATTTTCCAGCAATGCTAGAAACAACAGCAGCTGTGCATCCTGGTGGTAGTGGTGGTGCTGTTGTCAATTCAGATGGTCATATGATTGGGCTTGTGACAAGGTATGATAAATGAAACTGTGCAATTTAAACATTCTTGCTCACGAAGATTGTTTAAATATGCACATAATTGCCTTACTCTACTGTTGTTAATGAGAATATCCCCAGGAAGCTACCGCGTCATTTTTCTTGTTTCCTTTTTGCTGGATGGTAATTTTGTGATGATGAGCATGGAAAGAAATAATGACAAATATGAAATTTCACAAGCATGTTTAGGGTATCATGGAGTGAAGTTTGGAATAATTTTGTGTTTTTAATTGTTTATTTTAATTTTGTATGTTGGACAAATTTTATATCATTATATTAGGTTTTAGTAGTTAATAATATTTTGTAGTTACCAGATAGTTATGGTTTCTAAATTGGAGTTCTAATTCTTTTAAGAACAGGAAAAGTCTAATAGCTTATAAATAGGCATGTAATCTTCCTTTTCAAGATGGAGTTGATATTATGACAACTTGAGATTATGTTTGGATGAATTTGCGTAACCCTTGTGAGGGTGAAGTGTTCTTCTCTTTCTTCTTCTTTGTGCACATACCCAACTTCCAAGTTACTATTCTTGGCTATTGGTCAATCAAGTTCAAATCATCCCTAACCTTTTTCTCCTACCCTTTGCTACTAAATCCACATTTAAAACACCATAAAATAGCCATTGTCCAAATAAATCCAGCCTAGGTTCTCTGCAAATCCTGCAACTTGATGCTTTAAAAATCAACTCAATTTTACCCTCTCCCTTTTTACAAACACAAATAATTCTTCTAGCTCTTAAAATCCTAGCCTAGAAGCTTTCCATAACCAAAATGCACCACAATTCCTATTGTAAACAACGATACTCCAAATTTTATATTCTCCAGCCTATTGTTCTATGGTACTGGAGGAATTGGATGGAAAGTCGTGGTATCATGACATCAGGCAGTACATGAAGACCAGGGAATATCCTGAGGGCACCTCAAATGTCGACCAGAAAACTTTACAGAGACTGGCCGCTGAATTCTTCCTCTGTGGCAACGTGCTGTTCAAAAGATCTTTTCAAAAGAAAGATAGGGTTTGTAAGAAATAATGTATAGAGAAAGAGAGAGAATAAATTGTATGTATTATTATTAATTGATGTAATGTTATATCAATTACAATGATTCATGATTCCTATATATAGAAGAGGGTTAGTGTGTAGTAGGTAAGGAGTAGGTGAAGTGGAGGTGGTAGTGGTGTAGTGGGTTAGGTTTAGTGGAGTAGGTTTAAGTGGGTGAAGTAGGTGGAGAGTAGGTGGATTTTAACAGGGTTTGTGTGTGAGAGAGTTCGCAGTTCCTTTCCTATCCAAAACATGGAACACACGTGACTCCATGGTTGATGGGAGGGTTTGCCTCCCAACCCCCGCTAGCTTTCAATTCGAGTTCCACTTAAGACTGTTCCGTGTGGCTTCTTAAGTAGACATGGGCCCAAACTTAGATACTCCCGATAGGTTCTCTATCACTCCCATTTCTTCAAATCATAAACTCAACTCACTAAGTACTTTAATTATAGACCAGTTGTCTCCTCAACAAAGAAAATGGAAATGCACTAGCTTAGCAGGCTTGAAAGCAAAGTTGTCATGCAACATTTTGTTTTAGTGGTTGGTGGCTAGTGAGGCTGGTGAAGACAGCGTTCAAGCTCATGAGGAGATTCATGTCTTGCCTACCGTTGAGCTAGATGGCATCTTCAAGAAGTTATCTAGTTGGCTCACTAAGTCGCAACCTAATGTTTTAAAGAAAATAAATATAACGCAAATGGGGATGAAAACAGAGTTTGTATATTTCATTTTCAATTGATATTCAAATTCCTTTACTATCCTTCACCAACACCACTATCATATTATATACATGTCACTATCTACCACCAACACCACTATCATATTCTATACATGCCACTATCCTTCACCAACACCACTATCATATTATATACATTATCACAAATTTCCAGCAGTATATTTCATTTTCAATTGATATTCAAATTCCTTTCATAGCCATTTGAGAATTATTTTATAAGGAGACATTCATTGTGTAGCCAAAATAAGGGGAAAAAGGACTGCATATGTCTGGAGATTGAGACAAGGGGTTGGTTACTTGATTCATGCATTCTTACGTAAAATCAAGAGGAAATTGAAATCTGAAATTAGTTGAAGCATCAGTTGAAGAAACAATTAAACCTTTTGTGTTTTTTTTGAAGGATTAGGGTGTGGGTTTGGACTATTAGTCCCACCGGACTAGTAGTCTATTGTTTGTTTGAAAAATTTTGTTCCGGACTAATAGTCTCCCCAGACTATTAGTCTCACAAATATGGGACTATCTTATCCCATGGGAGAGGGTGAGATTATTTCCATGGGATTGGTATCCCATGGGATTAGGCTCTGAAATGTCCATTTTACCCCATGCTATTACTTAGCAAACAATTAGAAAAGGGTAAAATAGTCTTTTGAACATTTATAAATTATTTTTTTAGTATTGTTAATTTAAAATTATATATTAAATAAAAAATTTAAATTATAAATTATAAATTTAATTTAATTGAAAATAATAAATTAAAAATTATGGCCTTATAAATTAAATTTTTTTAGTGTTGTTAAATTATAAATTATAAATTATAAATTATAGATTACAAATTTAAAAGTATATATTAAATAAAGATTATAAACTATAAGGGTAAAATAGTCTTTTGAACATTTATCCTTATCCAGTCCGTCTAACTAAACATTAGATTCACTAAAAATAGTCAAATCCAGACATCTAATCCCATGACTAAACAAATATAGGATACAAATCCAATCCAACTAAATAGTCCGGGGACAATGTATTTCGAGACTAACAGTCCGATGGATTACAATCCCCTCTTGTAGAATTTAATGTATAAAGAGAAATAGAGAGAGAATAAATTGTATGTATTATTGATTGATTTATATTGATGTACATTACAATGATTCATGATTCCTATATATAGAAGAGGGTGAGTGTGTAGTAGGTAAGGAGTAGGTGAAGTGGAGGTGGTAGTGGTGTAGTGGGTTAGGTTTAGTGGAGTAGGTGAGGTGGTAGTGGTGTAGTGGGTTAGGTTTAGTGGAGTTGGTTTAAGTGGGTGAAGGTTTAGTGGAGTAGGTAGATTTTAACACCTCTTATGTCAGATAAGTCTCTTTTTAAGGCTCATCTAGTGTGCCTGGAATGCTGTTGTCCATATTTGTACATTTTGACTGATACTGCCTTGCTATTTTTAATCAAAAAGAGTTAAGAGTTGCAAGGTATGATCGCTGTATAACCACTAATTCAGGGATTGCATGATAGCTGTTGTATCAAAGATAAGACAAGTACATTTAGTTGGTACCCATAATTTTCGGCAACTAAGGGTTGGAGTTGACTCATCTCCAGTTTTGCCCTTACCCAGCTAAACATCATATTGCACTGTGGTTCCAGATTAGCGTTTCTGCTTTTCACCGTCAAATTGATATGCTCTATATCGTCATGTGAGGCAATCTGATTGGTGATTGATTGATGATATGTAATGAAAAAGGGTGCTTCAGGAGCAGGTTTAAACCATATGTTTTGGCTTTTCACGGACATGGACATGGACACGGACACTAACACTGGACAAGGTGATTTTGAAAAAATTAGGATATGAACACGGTGGGGATCCAACAAATTTTTTTTGTAATATTTGCTACGTATATGGATACAAATTTAGGATGAGGAGATATATAAGAGGTATCAATGTATACAAGGGTGTATTTTCCTTCTTTTTTTCCTTCACTTTCCTCCCTCTTTGTTTTCATATATTTTATTTGACCTTAAATCATCTTTCTGAAATTATAAAAAAAAAAAAAAAAAACTCACTAAGGCGTGGCCAAAAATAGGACACGCGTGTCTGTGAATTGTCCCCAAGGTGTCTTGCAAAAAAATAATAATTAAAAAAATTAACACGGCATGTGACGTGTCCGACATAGACACAACACCCATTTTGAATTGTTGGTGCTTGATATAGATTGAAGGTAATGAAGTTGGGGCAGCCAACTCACACATACTGTTGTAATATTTCTTGTTTGGTGTGATATATATTATTGACAGAAAAAACGTCGGGTTTGTACCTACTCTGGTGTATCATCAACCTTATCAGTTAAATTCTTTGGTAGGAAATATGAAATTGCATAACCTACTTTGTTTTTGTGGATTGATAATAGTTTGTGTAAAATTTGGTCGAAACTCCTGTTTGCTATTAGTATTATAAATTCTGAGAATTTCACTGATCGTTTTAATCTATGACATCTTAATTGCTTGCAGATTGAACTTCCTATTTAATGAGATATATTGTTGATGATACAGTAATGCAAGGCATGGTGGAGGGATGACAATACCACATCTGAACTTCAGCATTCCATGTGCAGCTCTGGAGCCTATCTTCAAGTTCTCAAGAGGTTACTTAGCTACACCCCACACAAAATAATATCTTTTTGTTTTGTTCTCCATAAAATTTCTGGGCTTGTTTTTAGTTATAGATAGTTCTGAACATTAGGGTTCATTTGGGAAGCGGCTTTTTGGCTTTTTACAAAAAAAAAGTGCAAAAAAGTAGAGAGAATGGAAAGGAATCTTTGATTTGTTTGTATGGCATTTTGACTTTTTGGCTATATTATCCTGTTGCCAAACAAGGCCTAAATATAAATATTTAGAGAAGGGAAGAGCAGATTATTTTATTACACTTATCAAAAGCTCAAGGTCATGCACACACCTAGCCTGGCCCAAGCTCGATGATGGGTCAGACCAGCCCAAAAATATATGGGCTCTGTCTGGGCCGAAGGGTAGGAGGACCTATGGCTGGCATATAAGTCCAGTCCAAATGGCTATTCAAAGTCCGACCCTGAAGCCCGAATTTTCGTATTATAATGCCACCTTTTTCTATTTAATCTTGAATTTATTAGAAGTCCAACTTAGGGCCAAATTAGGCTCAAATTGGCCTACCCCGACCATAACCCATATTTTAAGCCCATGGGTAGGACTTGCACTTTAGGAATTTAAGATGGGCCAGCCCAAGCTCAGGCTGTTGACCAGCCTAAGCCCATGAGGGCTTGATCCAACTCATTGCCTATAAGCCTGTGAGCGAGTTGATTTGAGACGAGTAGTAGGTTATCTGAGCCAAGTAGTATTATGTTCAAGCTTGGTTTAACAACCTAACGAGCTTTCAAACTTGGCGTGGTTTTACATAACGAGACAAACACGAATCGAGTTCTAGTAGCTTTGATTCGTTTTACAGCCTAGTTGCTGAGGCGTATCCTAGTTTCTTGGATGTATCCGCTGAAAGTAGCTAGAGATATGCAAGTCAATTCTGATTGACCCCTTTTGCTCCAACAGACATGAAGGATTTGTCACTCTTAGAAGAACTCGACAAACCTAACGAACTCCTTTCTTCCGTATGGGCTTTGATGCCGCCATTGTCTCCAAAACCGGGCCCGCCATTGCCGAATCTGCCACAGCCACTGCCACTAGATATCAACAAAGACGGGAAGGGCTCTCGATTTGCTAAATTTATGGAAGAAAGGCAGGAAGTTTTCAGGAAATCAAATCAACTTGGCAAGATGAAGAGGCTTTCTACAGAGTTTATTCCAAGCAAGTTGTGACCCATCAATACAAGCGAGAGATGAATTGATCCACATGGAAAAGAATGAAAATGTTGTGTATTCCTTGGAATTGAGATTTGTAACTTTATCAATGTTGTTTTATGTGATTGAAATAATCTTTTATATACAAGTACCATTGTTTGGCTTTACACTCGTGTGTGACACACTGATTGTTTTTATTTGCAGTTTATTTAGCTTAAAATTTGAATTCATGCATTTAAGCACTCATACTTCAGAAAAATATGGTGTTTGGTTCCACTTTTCAGCTTAAAAAGCTCAAAAAGCCGAGGACTGTTTGGTTGTGCTTTCCTTTTCTTTGTTTTCATTTTTTTTTTGTGTTTTCAGAAACAAAAGTAACGATATGTTAAAACAACAATGATTTAGACCACTAAAAAATACATCACTAATAGCATTAATGTATTGGAAATGGCAAAAAAAAAAAAAACCAGGCATAGAAAGTGGGCGGGGTCTACTGTCACATCATTAGTGCTCCTTCTAGTGCTTCCTTTTTAGTACTCTTAAGCATTTTTCATGTTAAAAAATACGCATTGTTTTCTTCCACTTTCATTTTTGAGAGAATTACTCTATTTGATTTGAATTTTTGAATAACAGTTTTTTAGTTTTCAACTTGTATTTTTTTATTTTCAGTGAATTTTTTTAACATATTAATATTTTTTAAAACTTTTTATAACTAATTAATTTAGGTTATAAGAACACTTAAAAAGTATAATATTTGTAATTTCTTTTTTTTTTTAAATTTACTAAATACAAATAAAATACAAAATTTCAACATATTTTCATATTTTTTTTGTATTTATTATTATTTTTTAAAAAAATTCATAATATTTTTTAGTTTAGGTGCATCTAAAAATTAAATAAAAAATGACTAAAATGTGGGAGGGGAAAAATTTGTTAAAAACAACAAAACATGAAAGGAAAAAAAAAATCAAAAATTTAAAAAACAATTCAAAACCAAAACAATTTTCAAAATAAGTTTTTGATGTTTTTTTTTTAAAAATCGAGTTGTTTTATAATTTGTTTTTCATTAGTAATACTCAACTTCTTTTTTTTAAGTTGGACATTAATTTTTTTTACCATTGGGATTTTAATATTTTAAAAGCTAGAATGAGCATAATACTTAGACCATTGGTTCAAAAAAATTTAATTTGAGAATTTTAATTTGTCAATTAAATTAATTTTTTTTTGAATGAATTATTATGTGATACTTAGCCCCTTGAATTAAGTTCAATTAAAAAAAATTAATTAAATTAAATTTAAAAAAATAAAAATAAAGCTAAAATGAACTTGGTTATTTTTTTAAAAGTTTTTGTGAGATGTTTTATAAATGATGAAAATCTTGAGGGAGACCGGTGTAGTTATGTCAAAAGTGTAAGGTCATTTGTATTTATTCACATCTCAAGGGAAGCAAGTGTTATTTACCTATATTAAAATAATAAAAGGAAAAGATTGCAATTTTAGGGAGACTTTATCTTTAGATATCACATCTCATAATCAATAACAATCATACATTATTTTTTCAACAAATTATTGATGAAGCTGAGTTAAGTGTTATGTGAATTAAAATGAGAGCCCAATATAATTATGTCCAAACTGTGAAACTTGTACTTTTTCTAAATTTTAGGAGAGATCAGTGTATTTATCCATAAAATTACTAACATTAGCAAAATCAATTAGTTAATCTAAGAGAAGGGGAAATTTATCATTAATTTCAAAACTTGGGAGTGGTATGTCTTTTTCAAAAATATAAGAGAGAAATTTATATTTTATATAAATTTGAAAGGGTGTAGTTATAATTGAGTCTTGCTAATGACATTTCTAAGGGCAATCAATAAGAACTACAGCATGTCAAAATATTTATAATTTCAACACAATTTCCACATATCTCAAAATACTTTTAAACATTTCAATATATTTTTTTACACATGTTTTCAACACTAAGGTATTGCTTGATAACTTGATTAAGCACTTAAAACTCTTTTAAGTGGAAAGTTAATTAAGTCTATTTAATAACTACAAATGGTATCATTTCAAAATTGAAGTGACTTTTAAAATTTAAGCTAAAAATTAAAAATATTTTAAGTGATAGAAAATTACTTAATTTCGATTGAATTTGTAAATACTTATACATAAGTATTAACATACATCGTTATAACCTTACAATCTCTACCATCACCATCACTACCGTTACCGCCACTATCATCGCCACCGCGACCTCCACAACCATTACCACTGTCGTCATAATCGCCACTATCATTTTACAGCCACTATCATTTTACCACCACAATAACCACCGCTATTATACCACTGCCGCCACTCCTTTTTATCACCACTATATCACCCTTTTACTATCATCACAACCACTATTCGTTTGGCTATGTAGGTTGGGTTGAGACTAAGTAGTTGTTTGGCATGTGTTAATGTTATTTTAGTACATCATCTTATTTGAGTTACAATTATCTTATTTGAGTCACATCACTTCTTATTTGAGTCACATTACTTCTGTAAATCAAAGTATAAAGTATTAAGAGATAATAATTTAGGGCCTTTTGTTTAGATATATAAAGTAACCCTAGGTTGCCTAATACAATATATAACAACACTAGGGTTCCTAATTAACACTATAACTGTAAACAAGGTATAAAAATTGCAGCGGATAAAATATTTAGATCATACCTTTAGATGATAGAACCTCGTGGATAAATCACGTGCTTCCAGAATCTGATAAACCAACCCAGCTGTGAAGTGATATTACAGATTGAATATCACCCACACAAATCACAGTGCAAAATGACTTGATCGTTGTTTTTGAGAGAGAGTCAGTATATGGGTAAAACTCAGATCATACGTTGTTTATCTCATAATCACCCATAACCCATATACCAGATATATAATATGTTATTATTATCTATCCATATCAGTAATGGAGATAATATCTGTATCCTGAGTGGTTATCCTAAAGAGGTTTGAATTCAATTTCAAAACCTATTTGGATAAGATTCAAATTTAAATTCAAATGGTCATGCCACATGGGCGCCCATTACTAACATCTCCCACTCGCACATGAGTTGGCATGACACTGCCACATCTCTATCTCAATCTCCAAAAAATAAACAATCTCATACTAGCCACTGCACCGTGCGACTGCTGAGAACACCTGCATGTGAGAGCTCTATACTAGAAACTCAAAATGAGCCAGCATAGAGACACTCAACCCCAAAAGAATAGAAATAGTGTCTCATATACCCCAGACCCATCTAATTACACCGGTCCAAAAACATCTCTAATCCTTCAAAAAGAGCATGTTTGACCCTCTCAATTCTTGCAATATAATTCACACTCAATTCGCTTTTCATACAGAGCGATGTGAGTTGCCGGCAGTGAATATACAACGGTGGTGTAATACTAGATGATCTTCCTTTTGCCCTCATGCCATTTAGTTTAGGATTGACCGCTTTCCCAGTGATGTCCCTTAAGGCCGAATCATACATGACCGCAGGCAACATACCAAAGTAGCGGAACATCAATCCCTTACCTTATGACATAGTCAAAAGTCACAAAAGGGTACATAGTAAATCATATCAATAATGACACGTAGACTCACACGGTGAGGAAGTAGGGATCCATTCTCTCACCTCATTACTTCGGTCGCTAAGCACCTATAGTATGAATACATGCTACGGTGGAGTAACTCTTCCATAAAGAGTGACGTCATACTCGATACACCGTACAGATATTAGTCTAGTCGCTTTGTAGCGCCTAACCCGAATTCTCTATTTGCTCGCCTTCTAGGCGCCAAATGAGATCTCGCATCTGGCTAATCATAACAGGCACAACATGGAAAGTGGGTACTAACATCCATGTTTGGTCCTTAACACGATCTCATCTTGGTTATAACCAAGGCGACATACATAGTGGATGATTTAACCCTCTCTTGGCTCCAAATAAAAATAAACCACCAGTCTCATCCTTGCTCGCTCCCAAGCGCCAAGGGCGATTGCTCGTGTGAGTGAGCCAATCTTGCCTGCTGACATCATCATCTGCTAATCATTATGACACAAACCATAATAGTGTCAACATCCCATCATCTCAAAATAAGTGATCGATTTAAAAAAAAATTGACCACAGCTTGCGCAATTATAGATTCCAAACATAAGCCTTATCAGCACCTCTTCGATAGTATATACAACGGAATCCACCATGTGCGCCTCACATGAAATGATTTAAGATCACTACCTCTTGCGCAATAACCTCTCTAAAGATATTTTTGGTGACCAATTTGTGTTCATTCTTAATGCGCCAACTAGCGCAGATGTGCCCAACTAGCGCATTGAATTTTACAAGGAGCAAATTAATATGCTTCTAATAAAGCATTTTATCCACAGTCTAATGAGCAAGGTCAATGTCTAAACAACTCAGTTGACCATTTACCAAAGATAACACTTATCATGCCGAATACGCCCACATAGCGTACTTTAGGCTCCCACAACAAGAAAATCAGGGAATATAGGTCCTCCCAAAGACAATCCGAGGATTTACTCAATAGCTAAGGCTCTGGCTTTTCCGATAGGTAAGTCAATGGATTTGCAATTTTGCATCTAGAATCATTCTAGGATATTCTCTATGTAAGTCATCGAAGACAAACCGAGAATTTTCCTAAACAATCCCTAAGGATCGTACATCCGAGCATATAAATTACATCACCCATGTCCATCATATCTAAAATAGAGGACTGCCCACCCTAGGTGGCGACAACCTTATAAATTCCTGGCTCATAATGACTAAGTAAGGAAAAACTTCTTTGGACCATTGATCATGCCTCAGTGGTCTTCATCGATCATCGTTGCCCTATCATGGCTTGACGAAATCTAAGAACCGCTGTTTGATAACGGCTTTAGGCTGTAAAAGATTTATTGGAACTAGCAACCTTTTTGAGCTCCTAAATTTTTCACACCTAAAAGCAGAAGGTAAATCCCTATGGATCTACTTATCCAATTCTCTAACAAGAAAGTTGGGTCACAATGTCCACAAATCAATGTTCCGAACTTATGTCAATCATAGCCTAAGTCAAAATAACCTCACTCCCTAGGAGGAAGTCTTCTCATGGTCTACACTTCCCTCAATGGTGCGATCTTTCGGTATCTAACGAGCCTTATGCCTCAACAATGACTATCCAAATTATGCATAACTTT